TAACCATGGGACATTTGATAAATGTAGTAAAGAAATAGATCATATATTTTTCTCCTTCAGTCAAAATCTTACATCAAGTATTCATGAAATATTCATGAAAAACTCTCAATGAAACAATGAAGAGAACAAAAGAGAAAGCAAAAAGTTTGACAACTAAAGGAAATGAAAAATGGGTTGTGTGCAGGTGGTTCATTGGCCACCGCTCTTTTTTCCTGATGTAATACAAGCACCTGCGAGAGGTGATATCTTTAAAGATCTTACACTTTCTGTAGGGTTCCTGACTCCAGAATTAAAACACTGAATACCAAAAAACTTAACACTTCGTTTTCCAGATATAATTTGGGAAACCGAAGATAAAAAGTTAATTTTTATCTCCAAACATGCGTGCAGTATGTGTTGACTAATAAAACAAAATAATTCTAGGTCATTACAGAAGTGGGATGAAAACTTTCTGGAAAAAAATATTTTGTTAAATGATAATGAACTTATCAAGCTGCAAGTGTACACCTCCTTTACTATTCTAGGTAAGGCATACTGTTACTAGTCAAAGTATAATCAAGGGCAGATTTGTTTAAGGGCTAAGTAAAAATGTCTGGAAGCTTTGTTTTAACAATGAGTAAATGCTGCTTAATAGAGTTTTCCTTCTTTTAAAATGCCTTTTTAAAATGGAGACAGACAAGTCTTCGAGTTACGTCTACAATACAAGAGCTCTATCACAAGACAATGACTAATTCAAAGGTCTTCAGGTTTTCCATTCGTGTTAAGGAAATAAAGAGGAGGACCCTCGGACACCTTGAAAGGGAAAAAGACTAATAGAGCATACACACACGTCTCTTGCAAACAGTTCCTCCAGTTTTGCACTAGATTTTTTCAGAGCCTTTTCTACATCATCTGCACAAGCCCAGAAAGCCCTGGGGAATGGAAGACCCTAGTCCATTGGGATACAGCCCGGACTGGGAGCGAGGAGTCTGGGTCCGCTCTCACCCAGCCTGCCCAGCCGACCCTCACTTGCCCTCTCCTCCTCCCTCCCGCAGCGGGGCGCTCGCTCGCCTCTCGCTGGACCCGCGGTGTCCCGGAGCGTGGAACCCAACCGTCGGGCACAAGGGCTTTACCCGCCCCCTTCCCTCTAGGGCTCTTAAGTACGACCCTTCTTCCAAAACCCAGTTCCAAAGGAAGGGGTTGGAGCGGAAGAAAACCGCCGTAACCGACAAGCGCCCGTAGCCGCTGCACCGCGGGCGCCAGCCCCCCGCCCGCCGCC